TTCCAGGGCAGTGGGAAGGTCAATCTTCAATTGATGCCTATCTAGCTGGAGTTAATAGATTACCATTAAAGAATGTGACATTGCCCTGCCTTGGCAAACAAGGTCCGGGACCTGTAGAATCATGCGGCAGGCTGAGATATTTTTCATGTTATCGGCTGCATTATCAGCCACTTCTGAAGACGCTGCAGTAAGAATCTCCAGTGTAGAGATTATAAAATACAGCATTTATGTTTCTGAAACGATGCTTAAAGGGCTACGGTCTCTTCTCATACTGTACAGACGCATGCTCTGGTCTCTTTATTCCTGTGAAATTGAAGGCATAGGAGTTCTAGGGTTTGTGTTTGGGGAGGGGGGAGCACTTCAAGTCCATTTTTACCCTATTGGAAGGAAAGACCAGATGTTCATTGAACCTCATGAGCCTGGCAACATCTTTCCCCAGCGTGTGTTGTTTTCCAGCCTCTCTCCTTTGAATCAGCAGGCCCCCCTCCTGCCAACTTTTGTTAATTCGCTACATTGGGGCATCTGCATTCCTAGCATCCAAAGTATGTGTGTGTGTGTGTGTGTGTGTGTGTTTATGTGTAAGGCTACATCTGCACCACGAGCTAGAGGTGTGACTCCCCTGCTCGTGTACACACGCTCATGACAGCTCTCATCAAGCTAATACTAATATCAATAGCAGTGTAGCCTTGATAGCACGGGTAGCTGCTGTGGAGGCACGGCTCAGCCAAACCTGCCTGAAACTAGTGGGTATGTACTCAGCATGGCTCAGCCATCCCTCTGCTGCATCTACCCGTGCTACCGTGGCTACCCGTCTAGTTATACTCAGGTAGCATGAGCAGGGGAATTGCACCCCGAGCTCGTGGTGTAGATGTCACTTAAGGCACTGCTTTCAGTTGCCAGCAAGAGCAGAAGGCTGGCTCCTTTCAGTGCTTTTTTTATGCAGTAAACAGCTATAATGATGAGGCCATTAATGGCAACTAACAACTTGAGATGGCTTTTGAAAGCAGCATATTGCCTGCAACAGCCCTTTATGGTTCTGTTTGCAGGCAAAGTTGATTAGTTGCTAGGGAACTTCAAATTATCTGTCCGGGGAGATACACGTAAATAAGGTCTCCTTGCCTGTGGCATTTGGTTGGCCTAGTGGCTTTGATAAATGAGACCTGATAAAAGAGGAAAAGTGTCTGCACTGTGAGGTCGTTTTGCTGCTTTATGTAAAGGTGGCCTAAAAGGAAATTTCTGCTTATTTTTTTTCCCTAGGAGTATTGGGTTTTCGTTGTTATATTGTTGGTGTTGGAGGACTCATTGGATACCTCAGAGATCTGGCTCAGGGGCTTTCTTAATGCTTAACCGTGTATCCTTTCTCCCACCAAATGCAGTACGTTATCAGTTGGACCGCCATTTCTCATACCACCATAGATGGGTGCCTGGGGGAATGTGTGTACTGTTTTGTAGAACAATGGTGATTATCCTGAAGTGCAGGGGGAGAACTCTTGGTCTGCAAATTGGAACTTGGCTGTGTTATTCCGCTATATCTGTGTGAGCCTTGCTCATGTAGTTCAGATCCCCTGTGCACATCTGACAGCAGGTGTGCCGTAAGTGTGTATGACATTGATGGGTCGGACACAGTGTTTGGGTAATATTGTGAGATAGGTGCTGTAGTTAAATGTTCCTATTTTCTGAACGGTGGAGGGCTCAGAGAGCAGGAAGAGGCCTTGGAAGGGTAATTTCTGATAGTTTGACCTAGGATGATCACTTGTTCAGATTAAAATAAATCTGTGGTCCCTCAAGAGGCTCCTGTGAATAATAGGCCCCATCTTTATCCAATGGGACTCTTCTTTCTTGCTCATTAGGAGCTCAAAAGAAAGGGTTTGGCTGGCTTCTCAAGTCAGCCTTCAGTTTAAATTGAAAACAGCCTTAGAGGGCAAATGGGGCCATGGACAACACCAGCCCTGGGGGGAAGGGCATGGAGGAGGGCAAGAAACCCAGCCTGTTTTGGGTCACCCCAGCCTCAAGAGCCTCAGGTGCTGGGTTTCTTGCCCTCCTCCATACCTTTCCCCCAGGGCTGGTACCTTCTCTAGCTGGAAGCCAGTCCCTTTCACACTGCTCCTCTGCCTTGGAGATCTCATGGCCAGTCTTGAGCACAAGAGAAGCCATGGCTTAGTGTCTAACTGCAACTACTTAGAGCTCTGTAGCTAACAGATTTCCTTAGTCATGCTTGCAAGTTGAAGGCGGGGAACTGATACAGTAGTTTCAGAAAACTCCAGAAATCAATCCTTGAGACACCTCCTCTCCTGGTATTTGACAATACTTTAAAGTTCCATTTTCTGTAATTTACAAGATTCCCTGCAGTTCTTAAAGTGCTATATGAAATTCAGGCAATGGAAGCATTTGGGCCTATGCTGTGCACTCTCAAGTGAGATTTTAAATTGTCACTGTCAGCTGTTGTTTTGAAATTCATGTTCCTCACCTACTGTGTGTACAACATGGCAGGAGAGGAAAATCCGTGTGCTGTGTTTCAGGGGAGCTTTGAATTCAGGGGGAGAGGTTTATGCCAGATTGCAATTTTACTGATCTGCTGCGTGCTAATCTAATGTCAAGGACTGTATGTGGCACTCTGGGTTTCTTTTGTGTCATAGACGGGGTCACTAATTTATCAGCTGAAGAACATGCTTTTAAAATGCTGTAGCCTATTATTACTGTGCTGAGGTATAAAGTGGAAAGCAAAATCTGTACCACTACACTTAGGACATTACTGCTGTCATAGAATCACAGAACTGCAAGCTCAAGGGACCTTGGTGGGTTATCTAGTCCAGTCCTCTGCAATGAGGCAGGACTAAGGATTATCTAGAGACCATCCCTGACAAGTGTTTGTCTAACCTGCTCTTAAAAACCTCTTTTGACTGAAATTCCACAACCTCCTTAGGTAATTTGTTCTAGTGCTTAACTACCCTGAGAATTAGGAAGTTTTTCCCAATGGCCAACCTAAAAGTCCCTTGCTACAATTTAAGCCCATTACTTGTCCTGTCCTCAGTGGATAAGAAGAAGAATATAACACCCTCCAGTTTATAACTACCTTTTATATCAGGGGTCGGCAACGTTCGGCACGCGGCTCGCTAGGGTAAGCACCCTGGCGGGCCGGGCCAGTTTTATTTACCTGCTGACGCGGCAGGTTCGGCTGATCGCGGCCCCCACTGGCTGCGGTTTGCCGTCTCGGGCCAATGGGGGCGGCGAGAAGTGGCGTGGGCGAGCGATGTGCTGGCCCAGGACGGCGAACCGCGGCCAGTAGAGGCCGCGATCGTCCGAACCTGCCGCGTCAGCAGGTAAATAAAACTGTACCGGCCAGCCAGGGGGCCTAACAGAACGCGCCGCGTGCC